CGTTTTTGTTGTCTTTTTTTGTAATCAGCTGCGCCGTCATCAAGTGATAAGTGCGCAGTATGCTTTTAATTTGTCCGCTCGTATTTTGGAATAAATCAAAAAAATAAAACTGCGAACTGTACCAGAAAAAAAGACACACACAAAAAACTCAAATTCAAAATTCCAATTAAAAAAAATCACTGCTCAAAACTGGTTTCTGGCCACTACACTTTTTGGTTTTTGCTTTTGCTCAACTTATCCTGCTCAAGTGCTTTGTAAAGTTTTGCTTTCTGAACTAACCAAAAAACAAAAAAAAAACCAAGTCGAGTTTGTGGCAGCAAGCCGTATAGCATACATTAACCGCATGTGCAGCATACTTACTCACATATGTATGGATGTAGGTACTTACATATCTACTTGTAGTATGCACTGGTATTTATATCTCTTATGGCGCATTGAATAAGTGGCTGGACTAGCTCTTACTTACGATCGGCTGCTTCTCAAATCAGCTTTGAAATTGCGCACAACATGGCAGGTGCTGTCACTGATGAACGCTTGGCATGCAGCATACATACCTACTCACAAACATACTTGCAAACTTATGAACGCACTTATATTCGGTTTTACATATTATATATACTTTTCGTTAACATTTTGGTTTGTTAAACTTAACACTAACTTTTGTACCCAAGCAGACATGCTCGCATGTATGTATGTAATATGTATGTACGTCATATACATGAGCACCCGCCTCTTAAATGCTACCCTTGGGCGTTGATTATACACAGCGGCGCTGCGGTGATGACGTTGATGATGATGATTATGCTGATTATTTTTTAAATGTTGGCCATCATTTCATGGATGTTGTTGGCCATCGAATCCTGTCACACATCTCAAAAGTGGGTTAAGCTGTCAACATGCATACGTATCGATGGTCCTCTGCAATAACGACACAACTCAAAATTTCATATATTTCAATAGAGAAAATTAAAGATTTTGTTTTTAACAATAATTCCGGATTATTTGCAGTCATTATGTAAGCTTTCAAATTGTGACTTTTTCTAAAGATTTAATAAGTTTACGCTGCAAAAATACGAAATAAGTAACAACTCGTAAGTAGTTAAACGAAAAAAATTCAATTTGTTTTGAAAGTGTCGTTAGTTCCCATAAAAGTATTGCTGAATAACGGCACAGAACGAAAAGTGTCGTTGTTTCCCATAAAAAATTACAAAAGTTTTAACTGAAACTATGAAATTAACAACGGAACAAAAAGAAGTGTCGTTATTTCACATAAAAAAAATTACCAAGTGTCTTGCTGAAACTATGAAATGAACAACGGGATAATACGAAAAGTGTCGTTATTTCACATAAAAGTATGACTAACCTATCGGGAGTTTTTAACTTATGCCAATATTCACCATAAATGTGAACATGCGCCACTGTTCAATAGTCAGAATTGGCTACTTCGGTTTTGTGGCAAATGGCAAAACTGCTCTTCTGCCGGATTGGTAACAACTAAGCCTATGTCGATTTGCCACAGAAATGGTTATTATAAACCTAATCCGCTATATAACTCAAAAACATTTAATTTTGAGTTGTGCCGCTATTGCAGAGGACCATCGATGTGTATTTTAATTTTTTAAACAAAAAAACTAGCACCAAATTTAATGCGAATAAAAACGCACGGTGTCCATAGATGGGATGAAAAGAGAAAGCAGATTCTGGATTAAAATGTCCAACCAGTCACAATGGACACGAAAAACTTTCATCACAGAGCGCAGATTTTCGTAATACAGGCATGTTTGACCTAAAGGCTTTTTTCACATTCTAACACAATAAATTGAAAACAAAGAGATTTTAGTTTACAGGGTGTTGCAACGAAACTTTGTAGTCTTTTAGTAAGGATTTTGGAAGGAAAAAGTTACATGGCTGTGTGGCAAAACTGATACGTACATACGTATGCATACAACAAGCGGAAGACATCAAAAATGAAGAACAATAATAACAAATCTACGAGTAATCTGTTATGAATTCTGCAATAGCTAGCAAACGGCTTTAACAATAAACAACGAATCGCGAGTACAAGCGAAATCAACAAAATCTCAGAAAATCAACAAAATCTCAGAATACTATTTAAAGCAGAACAAATACAAAAGAGGCAACTCACACATTTTGCTCTTATTCATACATAACTAAATATGCATCCACTATTTATACACAAAAATTTAGATCGGCATTTTGCTGTAAGGTAAATGTGCGCTTCAATTAAAAGTACAAAGTGCATAAACTACGTAGCAAGCAGGGAACTGTACGGCAACTATTTTATTTGCAAACACAACTAGTTCGTTTCACTTTTAATGCAATTACTAATTAAAAGTGTACACACGCTTATTGTTTGTAGAATGTTTTTTTAATGTTGCTGAGTAAAAATTTGACACAAAATCTGCCTTATGGCTTTAAGTAATAGATACGCATGGAAAAGTAAACCAATGTATGTATATACAAAATATTCAAGAAACACATGTTAATTGGCCTTTAATTAGTGCTAAACAGAGTTTGGAAAATTAAATATAAACACTCCAACATATTTGCTTTACTACTAATTAACTTGAAGCTAAAATAAATACAGATATTTATTAGTATCTAATTACTACTGCAGCGCAAATATAAGTACATACATTCACACATACCTATGTCTATACTAGGTATTTATGTTAAAGTATAGTCTCTTCTATAAAATTAAATAAAATATAAAAAATATGATTTAAGACGAAAGCAAATTAAATGAAAAATAAGTATTTTTTAAGCAAAAAACACAACCGACTTGAATTCTCATATAAAATTTAGGAATACCGTTTCTTCAAAATCAAATGAATGGATCTAAACCAAATTAGTATGGTACCACATTTCCGATACAAACAATAATCATCGAAATCGGTTAACGTGGTACAAGGTTACGCGGTTACAGACATAAAAAGAGAAGTAATCCTACGAATTTGAAACGTCCTCATTTTTACCAAGTCGGTTAATGAAAAAAATAAAATAATAAATATAATAGTACCTCTCTTATTCTTGCATTATTTGTATGCACATATGGATATACATATACATATATGTATGTACCAGGGTTGTTGCGAATATTCGCATTCGCAACCGCGGAACTTCCGCATAAATTTTAACATTCGCATTCGCAATAATCAAAGCGGAGCTTTTGCGAATGCGAATATTATGCAAGTGCCTCAAAAAATATATCAAAACACATTGAGCGCATGGAATGGAACAGCAAAACGGATTTGATGGCTTATGGTACCGACAGCGGTGAGTAATTAATTGTGACTGCCTGCAACTAGGAAAAGTCAAGCTCAGCTAACTAATAAAAAAAAACGAATTACAAGCTATTCATTCCAGGTGAACCTTTCCAAGAGGTCACCCGGGAATTAAGCAAATCTGAGACCATTATCGTCCGTGATTGAAATAATTGCAATTATTATAAACAACGGGGTACGTTTTTAACAAAATAACAAGATTTTAAACTAATTCTGCTGACAGCCACGACTTTCAAAACAGAATTTTCTTCGAAATTTTCATTCCTACAAAATAACAATTTATTAGCCATATCCACCAGTTCACAACTTCGCGACGCTATAAGCTACACATTTTTCAAACCAGTCACAGAAGACAGAATTAAAAATGAATTACAAAAACTAAAATCGAAAAACGCTGATGACGTAACCGGTTCTCCAAATTCTGAAACAACCAAAAGAATTGGTTCTCCAATTGGAACACAATGGTGTTTAAACGGCGATCTTGCCATGATGCTAGATTGTGTAGATGAAAGTCAGGAGGATGCATACGACATTTGCAGCCCCGATGCAATTCTCGAATTATTGAACCGAAAAAAATAATAACTGAAGTTCTCTCAACTGGTGCAGCGTCAATCGAAAAGAATTTACAACTTTGTAAAGTTTCAAGTTTTTCAAGTTTGTCGCCTCGAGCGAGTAGTTATTTAATGGCGCAGGTTTGATTTACAACCGATAGGAAACAGGCTGTAACCCGAAAAAGCAGCAAAATTACTCTTTCTTAAATACAATGGTCCAACTTTTTAATTTAAGTACTAAATAAAAAAATATATAAAAAATTACTAAATTTTCCATTTTTATTTACCTTAATCACCCAATGTACCCACCAAAAAATATTTCCTAAAATACAGTGAAACCTCTCAGAGACGGACGCTCCTATAAGCGGACACATTCTTGGGAACGAACAATTTTTGGTTTTTTCCATACAAAATGCTCTCCCATACACGGACTTTCCGATAAACGGACGCGGACACTCAAAAATGTCCAGTTATGAAAAAAACTCTCCCATAAGCGAACGCGAAGCTCTAACAAGCGGTAAATTTTGTTTTGTTTTTCGGTCAAATGTTGACTCTTGCACTTCAACATATGTATATGTACACAAGAACATAGTCCATATTCAAAAATATTTTCTTTTCTAGGAAAAGTGTTGCCTTTTCGTTTCCAATGGTCAATGAGATTTGTCGGTTGGAAAGAAAACGCCATAAATTTGAATATATTTTTAATTCACCCTGTTTCTGTCTATTGAAGAATAAATATTATTTTAATTTAGAAACCCGCATTTTCAATTTTTTAAGTATGAATTTTAAATTTAGTCTACGAAATTCCTATAAGCGGACTTCTCTCATAGGCGGACAAAACAGGTAACCGCATATGGGAGCTTTCACTGTATTTGACATCCGGATTCACATTCGCATCCGCGGATGTTAGCTTTTAAACATCCGCATCCACATTCGCACATCCGCGGATATCTAAAATTCCACATTCGCCACATCCCTAGTACGTATCTGCATATAAATTATCATCTGTCATTATCGAAACTTGCGCAGGTGTCACTTTAATCAACACTATTTGCAAGATTGTATTTACGTTCAATTTGGCAAATGCAAATGTAGACCAAATGAAATTATGTGAAATTGGTAAATAGAAACTATAAACAGTGACTAACTTTCGCCGCAAAGTATAACTAAATCTCACAAAGTGTAATTTCCTTGTAACTATTTAGATATGCAGTAGTTTGTGTGCGAATAAATGGCCAGTGGTCACTGTGCTGAACAAACCAAACTAATGTGTTAAACTATGTACATTAGGGTGTCCCAGATTTTTATTATTGGGGGAAGTGGTATGCTTATGATTTAGGCATATTTTTTCTTTCCCTTCACAAATCTTCAAAATGGATAAAATAACTGGATCTGCATAAAAGAAATTAAGTAAGCTGCGATAAAGACACTCAGACCAGCCAACGACTAACACGATATGTCTACTATAGTTACATTAGTTTAACTTCTTAACCTTGGGCTCTCGTCATCAAATAACAATTAACCATTGTTAGTGTACTGTACGTTATTTATACCAAAAGAAAAAAATGTAGATAACTGTATGTATTTTAAAATTCGCAAAAATAAACTCCCCGCCTCTTGTATTGGCACACCCTTATGTACAAATGTATATTTACGTATGTATATACTGCAAATTATAAACTTCTACGTAAAGAGCTATCAAACAGCAGCAGGTGCTAATTGTAAGTTTATATATTTCTAAAATTTTTGTAAATACGTCAAAGGTTATCCGGGTGGCAATATTTCTGATGAAATTACCCCAGTCGGTGGGAGTATAAATTCAGCATGGATACAAAAAATTTCATATTCCTGAAATATGCCCTAAGTACTTGGGTATTTCAGTCTTACTGGAACATTTTATCTTTATATTTGCTTTATACTTACATATGTACATAGCTATATCGTATCTTCTATAGTTTGTATGCCTTGCCCGCAGTTGTTATTTATTTACTCACTTCTGATTGGCACATTTTAGTATAGCCTTGAGCTATTCCAATGATTCAGTCTTAATCTCATCAATCGTTGCACTTCCTTTCGTCCTTTCGTAGCTATCTTCATTTTTGGTAACAGGAAAAAGTCGGAGGAGGCCAAATCAGTAGTTCCGAACGTTTTCTTTTGATATAGCTTCTCGTGAACAGAGCGTAATTTCGAGGTAATAGAATGACTATTGACCGTAATACCTTGTGGTAAGAACTCTTCTCGCACTGTGCCACGGTAGTCGAAGCAAAACCTTGACATTAGACCGAACTGAACGTGCTAGACGATTGGCCTTTGGTTCCGACACGATTTTTTAACCACTTGAAACTTGCATTTTATTATACTAAGGGCGTTTTCTCAAGTAGCTTTTAAAAATTTATCTGATATTTACATACATATTTTGAGAATAAAGTTTATGTGTAAAGGGCAGATATATTTTAAAATCAACTTGAGGAAACGGTTCTAAAAGGATAAGTATGGGCAATAAAACTTCAGTTTGAGGATTTTTTGATTTTTCTAAATTTTGGATAAAGGTGAGACTTTGATTTATATGAAGCAAGGTGTGTATTTTTTTTCGTACAAAATTGAGGCAAGCATCGTTTGAAGAAGCAATTCTTCTGCTATATATAGGGTAATTTTATTTATTTTACATAGCATTGCATTATAAGATATAACGGTTTATTTACATGGAAGGAACTCGCGAAAACTTCTCAAAATCAAATATCTTTTGCCTATAAATCCATACATTTATAGGAACAGTTTTAATGACAACCCATGCAAGTCATGACTCTCATTAAGCATTATTAATTGTAATAGCTTTAAAGCAGCTCGTGAAACTGTATTAAGAGTAGTGTACATACAAATGTATATAATATCTATAACATGTATACGCACTTACCGAATATTAGTTCATTTGTTACGAATACTTTGTAAATAAAGGCAGATTTTTGTTCAGGAAATGTATCCTTTGCCTGAACTAATTTTCTAGTCATAGTTCTATAATTCCAAGTCTAAAGCTACATTCCCTAAAGCTAAAAAAAAATCTTAGTGAAGGAAGTTTTTCCAAACCCCGAATAATTTCCTAGGAAGTCTAGGATTTGTTTCATAAATATTTCTGCTGATAGGTAAATGCATTTAAGTTGAAACTTAATTTGATCCATTTCCATATAATTTGCATATTTATATTCTACCTTAATCAAAATTCTACGCAAACGAACATGATAACAATAAAATATCTATTTTCATCATACAAATGGGGATATTCTTGCAAGTAATATCACATTGAAATGTAGCATCATATTGAAGTATACATATGTATACATATATATACTTCAATATCACCTACTCTTCTCGAATGCTGCTGCTTACATGGCATTTAATAATTCGCAACATACCCTCATGTACTTTATACCTATGTGCGCACGCCTTAACTTATGCATCATAAAATTATTGAAATGTTAAAGCTCGCTTTCTCACTTCCCTTGCAGAGCTTAAATTTGCAATTCACAACGATCTGTAGTCACTTAATAAAAACCTTTCTGCCTTACAAATGTCGGTAAAATGCCTCTTTTTGCTCTGTAAACTGTGTATTTCCAAACTTATTATACACGCATACAATATGTGGGTGTGTTTGCCAATATTGTTGTTTAACTTCGAATCAAGACATTTACGCTTTTTGGTTTTTCAGCCTAAAAGCATGCACGCATACGTAAAAACATACATACATTCATACATAAATTAAATGTTTGGATACGAAAATGTTTACACAAATGTCGATGATGATGATGATGATGATGACAATGGTAACGATGGAGACGATGACGACGTTGCAATGACGACAAAAAACTCATAATTTCGGGCGTGAAATTCTGTGTTAAGGAACCACTCGAGTATGTCTGTTTGTTGAGCAATAACAATATTTATAGCAGATGGCAATTTTACCTTGATGTTTATTCATTCACTCAGCTTATTTTGGGGTAGACATAGGTTTAATAAAGATAGCTGCATACATACATGAACTTGTGCATAGTATATGTACATACATATATGAATTTATTCAAACATGGAAAGTAAGGGAAATATTCCATACGAAAAAGTCGAAGGGACCTCTCTAAAAACGGAGAGGAGTAAAAAATCTTAAGTAAATACTGCGAAGGCAAAGTTATGTATGTATGTGAACTTAGCAAGAACAGAAGAGGGCTCCTCTGCTTTTTATTTAGCGATGTGCATTTTTTCTTCCAAATGGGATGCGCCACGCTCCCTTTAACAAACTCCTTTACATATGTCCTCATACCAAATTTTAAGTTCGTGTGACTTGTGGTTCCGAAATTATAGCTGATAAAAAATCCCACGCCTATGGGATGAGCCACACCCTCTTTTACAAACTCGATTATATATGCCCGCCTATAAGCATCTACCATTGACATGTCTGCAAACCAAGTTTCAAGTTCATGTGACTTATGGTCTGGAAGTTATGGCTGATTAAAAATTTCACGCCTATGGGAGGTGCCACGCCCCCTTGGCGGATCCCATTTTTTTTCACCGTATTATAGGCCCAGGTGTCATGGCAATACTCTGTCAAAATTTTGTTCGATTCTGTCCGTCCGTTTAGACTGCAACCTGGCACATACCTACATACATACATATATACATTCATACATACTTTCACAAATATATAGTAGATGTATTATCTTTTAAGACTTACACCAAAATGTTTGGGAAAAAGTACTAAGATTTACGTGAGCTGGACCGATTTGAAAATACCTCCAAAAATTAAGTTTTTTATGAATAAAAATATTTACTTAAAGTTTTTTTTTTTAAATTCCCTCAAATGAAAACACGGTTTAAGCTTAAAAAAATTGAATAGAAATATTTGAAAAAATGTAAAAAAATATTTCAACGGAATCGTAATAATGAGATTTTTGATGTTGTTTTTTTGCTGATGTTTTGACTTTTTTCAAACATTGGTATAAGAAAAACTTGAATAACTGAACCTAAACTATTCCGATTTAGACTTGCGAGGTATCATTGGAAATGTGTTTTCTCACCCTTTTTATTGCTCATTCAAAGAATGAATAAGAAAGGTAGAATGAACGAGCGTCATTCCAAGTTGAATTAAGATGTGTTGGTATTTGAAAAAAAACTTGGTGAGTGAATGAGCTTTTTTTCGCACATATAACAAAGAGTGGGAAAATATCTTTCTACTGAGACCCCATAAGTCTAAATCAGAATAATTTTGGCCCAGTTATTCAAGTTTTTCGTAAATCAATCTTTGCAAAAAGTTAAAAACAGCATCAAAAATCTCGTTATTACGATTCCGTTGAAAAGAATTTTAAATATTTTTTGCAGGTTTTTTAAGCTTAATCTGGTTTGTCATCTGAGGGCATTTTTTCAAAAAGTTCTTTAAGATATTATTTTTATTCATAAAAAACTCCATTTTTGGAGGTATTTTCGAATCGGTCCAGTCTAAGTAGATCTTAATGTTTTCCGGAATATTTTTCAGACGTCTTCAAATATAATAAATTTCGTAAGCCCGGTCGAAAAACCGCAAACTTTTTTGGTGATGCAGTCTAATGTACATGTGTATCATATGCAGATGAATTGCACATCTTTAGTGGCCTTTATAGTGCATGCTAACTAAATACATAATTGTCATGAAGGTAATAGTTAATCTAAAATAAGTATACAAATCAAGAGTACCAGAAATATTATAGTAATAAGCACACACGCTGAAAACAAACTAACTTTTTTTGCGACATCGTCATGTAAAGGCAGTCAGTTGAAAGAAACGAAAAGTGGTCGAGTCAATCCTAGTTTAAAAATAGTGGACTCATAGTGGCTTTGTAGTTAGTTGAGTTCCCTACAGCGTACAATTCGAAATACATACATAGATGTGTGCTTTCATGTTAGCCTTCAAGAATCCAACTCCAACAATTTTGTCAAGGATCAGTCATTTTCAATTCTATTTCGTTTTATCTTTATCTACATGTCACTGTGTGTTGGTGTTCTTGTGGCTGCATTTTTGCAAGGACATTTCTTTCTTCTTAATTTTTTCTGCTTTAATCGCATATTTGACATTTTTACGGTGCGTACACATTTGACGAATAGCTGAATGCTTGATTTAAGGTACAACCAAACAGGAAATAGTATGTCAGTGCATGTGTATATATCTATCTAAATATGGATGTAAGTTAGAAGTTGAACCGAATTTCCAAACATTTCATAAATTTAAGAAGCAAAGTTGCTTTAGCAATCGTAAGTACAATGAAAATGCGAGAGTAGCAAGCTTTTCATCTCTTAAACAAAGAAATACTTTGAAAACTTTGAGATTTTCTTGAACTGGCGGGAATACCTGTACTGTTTTAGTATTTTTCTGTTCGTTGGCTGTTATCCTTCATTATTATACCTTTATATATACAAATATATGTGTGTACACATTTATGTCATAGCGACTCCTTGTAAAATAAACGTATTTGAGGCCTCTTTATTTACATTTCTTTTGTATTTGACTTTTACTTCGTCGACTTCTACATTTCTCTTTGTGACGGATGTCGCAAATAACGTCTGGCGCATCCAAATACATTTGTTCTTATGACATCACCGTCCAACTTAAGTAAATGATTACGCACTAGAAATGTGTATTTTTTCTGCAAAAATTTGACGAGGAAATGCTTTTGTGCACATATTTACATATGTACATATTTGTATTTGCGCACGTGTGGGTGGTAGGAAACCTCATGCGCTAATGGCGTCGGCTTTTAGGCGTCACCAAAATAATCCATTAATGCATTGTAATTTGGCTAATTTTGACTACGTTCTCGATGAGTAATTTAGGCACCGAGTTACTTATTTATATTTGTTTGTAAGTAGTAGCGGACGTAGGCGTGTTGACTTACTGTCAAATGTTAATTGAGTAAATGTCAAGAGTTTAAATACATTAGTACATAATTTGTCATCACAGAAGGAAATTCAAACTGAAGCTAATGCAAAATTCATAAACTGTCATTTAAAAATTGTGCAAAGTCCTCTTGAATTATAATATTTTGTTAGTTACTCTGCACAATGGATTTGGGTCACATCGATAACTTCGTAAGCTGTGATTCCCATGTCACTAGGCATTGTCAGAGCCATGGCGCAATGAACAGGTGAAGTAATAGAACAGCTTTCTCGCTTTATTTTCTGACATTCGGCTGCCTTATAGTCAAATTCTGTAGGCAAATTTTCAAATAAGATAGTGTCAAGATATCTTTTCGAACTCTAATTACTCCAACAGGTATAATCTTTATTAATAAATTTAAACTTAAAAATCAATTTACGAAAAGCATCTAAACTGAGTTCCATTAAAAGAAAATGTGAAAATGTTCCATTTTGTAATGTTTATTTTTTGGTAGTTAAGTTTTTATTATTTAGTTTATATAACTATTTAATTATTATTACAATTTAAATGTTTAATTTTCCAAAGTTCCTTCTTTATTGCAGGCCGTTTTTTTTTATATATTTTTTGTCGGGGAATTTACAGTTTTTTTCGAAAAATCATCTGGCAACACTGCTCAAAAGTCAAACTGTAATTTGTATAACTCTTGTCATCCCATAAAATTTATATAAAAATAGAATTGTTCCAAGAAATATAGACTCATTTATCCTTTTCCTAAGCTCTCAAATCAATTAATCAGCAAAATAGTTTATAAATACAAATATATTAGAAACGTACATTAATGATCACCTTGCTTATTAATATCCATAAACATAATCGAATTTTTGGGTATAATTGCATACATACGATTATATCCATATGAAAAGGACATTACTTTAATTTATTTTATATTACTCGTCGAAAATATTTTGACATTGGTATACATATATTTTCATCTTACAAGTAAAAATGTCATAGCTTTCCGAACGAAGCAAGTGCCTGTCTTCCAGACTTATCCTACGTTATGTATCATCGTCTTCTATGGAGGAGGATCTTTACCCCTAATCCCTGACCCTATATACGCCACTAAATCAGTATAAGATAACAAAAGAAGGGACAATGCGATCCGTTTGGCGCATCCCTAACTATGAAAAGGCCCAAGATAGCTTCCGCAGTGAAAATTAGAAGAGCCTTAGAGAAGTATTTCCAATTCTAGGAGGTGGTCGAATTGAAGAAGTTTTATTCAGCCTCTACGAACAGGCCAATCCGATGCATATGATGGTTTAGATAATCTTACAATTGCGTCCTTAAAAACTGTATTAAGGATTGCAACGGTTCGAGATCTCTTAAGCCTTTATCGAGCTAAAACACGGTGTGACCTACACACGCCTTTCCCATCTTAGAACTTTGACTCAGCTGCGTACAAATTTGCTTTTATAAGGTCAATGTAAGGAAATTTGTTTGTTCCTTTTTCTTTCGGCCGTCGGATACTTTTCTGTTCAGACACTCTATTTTGCCATCATGGCTAGGAACTTTTCGCTAAAGCAGATTTCATTTGAGGTGGTCTCATATCATTGATGGTGAAGTATTCGCAGTACCAACCGAAGCTGTTGCTGCTTGAAAAAAATATATGCTTAGAGGAATCCAATCTAAAAAGAGCTCCAAAGCTGAGATTGAAAAGGGGCGACCTTTGGATTTTATTAAAATGACAATTTTCTTCGATGTTTTGAGTTACTTTGGCCTAACACTGCCAAAAAATTTAATTGTTAATATTTTCAACAATAATTTGGTGATATTAACCACAATGTGGTTTACTTTAAACAGATTTAATTTTTTTGTTTGAATACGCTTTTGTTATGCACTTCACAGATGCTTTTTCATAGTTCGGAGACACAAAACAAAAATTTGTGTTATCATTTTAATATGTTGCCTCCGACGGCATTTAACCCGGTCCTTCTAAAACTTAGCAAATAAGAGCAAGCATCTCTGCGCACTCAGCTACATTCGTTCGCTACAAAAAAAATCATAAATTAGTTAGCTCGCTCTGAGAGGTCACAAAAAAGATATTGAGGAAAGGAGAATTGCTTTCTATTTAAATATTAAAAAAACATATTTTCGGGCTAGGATAAACCCAATACTTACTTTCGGTTATGACTAGGTAGCCCATTTTTATGCAAAAAACAAGCCTAAATACATGAACCAGATGAAAAACCTATAAATTTCTAATGCATCATAAATATATAGTTCATAGTTTTAGGCTTATTTTCTTTTACAAAAAAAACGCTGTTTAATATTGTCCCGCCTAGTTGCGGACGGACTATTTAAAAATATGCGAATACAACTCGCTAAACTATCATATTTTGTAAGTAAACAGCAGCATTGGCTACAAAGAGAAGTTCGAGGGTAGTTGCGTAACCACCCACTAGTATTACGAGCTAATACTTAAAACGGGAGAACATTTCCAAAAAAGCACTTTAAATTCCAAGCTCACATTATAAACGCACTTTAAAACTTAGCTCCTACTAAATCTCATAACCATTAGCTAGTTTTAAAATAAATTAGGGAAAAGAAAAACTCGTTTGTTTGCATTTGCTTTTATAAAACTTTTTGCCAGAGTGATCTATTCATGGTTGCATTTATCTATCAACCGGTTACTACTTGACTTGAATAATAATGGAGTATATTTTAGGGATTTTCTTATACACTTTTTGCTTTTATACATGAGTACCATTGTACCATACGTTCATATGTATTTATTATTTTGTTGTATGCTTTGAAAAACTTTTTTTTGTCGAACATAAATAAACCTAATGGAAGTTTCAAATATCTCAGCTTTGACCATTGAAAAGTATGCAAAAAGTTTGTTAAGTTAAAAAGCGCCTAAAAGTATGCGAGCGCAAAAGCAAAGCAAACAAGGAGAACGTGAGAATGGAATATTATGCTGTGTATTGAAAGAAATGTAGCAGGAGAATGTGTTGAGGCCAAGAGATAAATTTTCGCAAAAACAGTTAGAGAAAAATGTTTTTGTAACAAAACTAAGGCAAATAACACAAATTTATTAATAGAAAATAATGCTAGTGACGGAAGTTACACACAGACCGTAGAAACAGAGTGCAGTAACGGAAAGAGCTTTAGTACACAAAACAAACAGGGCTACGTCACTATACCGACCGAAAACAAAAAATAAGGCCAAGCGTATTTGGATTCATCGGTTTTGTTGAAACCACAGATGGTATGCTAGCTATTTGCTTCGTGACTTGTTTTACAATTTTTGCTTATTCGTTTTCGACTCAACCATATTCTGTTAATTAATTAAAGCATTTCTTTTTCTCTATAATAATGACGGTGAACACGCACAGATTATTGTGT